GTTAAAAGAAATCAGATGGGGTGGATTTGGAAGGAAGAACACTTGGATTTAATCCTGGTGCCATTTGRGTTWTTGATAATGTTCGTCTATCATCTCTACCTTCTCCACAAATACCTCAATGATTGTAAAGATACAGCGCTCGTCTACGAGAATAATAACAAAAAGGGCTGGGTTCAAAAAATTCTTCAGGTATAACTTCTTGTTCATAGTGAATACATCTCTTACTCATAGTGAATACGTCTCTTATTCATAGTGAATACATCTCTTATTCATTGTAGATCCTTGGGTTTTTCTTGAATTGATGCAGGTTGAAACCAGGTTCATTAACAATGTTGTTCATTAACAGTGAAACCAGTTTGTCAAATCAGGAAGTTTCATTAGTAACTACTTAGTTGTATTTGTATACAGATTTTGTTAGGTCAATAAAATGGGGTGATGAACAATATGGGTGATATTAAAGCTTCACTAACCTTTGACATTTGTTGACTCTGTTTCTTCATGAAGTGGAACGCTTTGTTCATCATTTTGACATGCAATTGGGTTCATTGAAACAGGGTCTTCTTCTTCGTCAAGAACAACTGGATTGTCAGCGGTGTTCTTGAACTTAGAGAATGCATGCTTTATCATTATTCGCTCGCTTAGTTTCCTTACTGATACATATASACAACGCATAAGGATATATCGAAACATTATACTAATTTCTTTCAACGGAGTATCTTACCTCGATTAGCTGCGATGAATACACCATGATGAAGATCGTCCGCCATTGCTTCTTTCCCAGAATCGATTTCTTACTGAATCGCGGTTATAGAAATTGATTTGGAGTGATTATAGCATTGTTGATTTCATCGCATCATTACTTAGAATAAACTGATTTTCCCCCTTTACAATTTTGCCCTTAATTGCCCTCAAAAATCAGGCGCGTGTATCAAAATATAAAGTTTATTACGACTTTGCCATCAAATGAACCCTGACCTTAGATTGAAAATTGGATGGTAAAGATGTTGGTTGTATTGGTTGTAAGAATTGCAAATGTTGTATTTTAACCTCCCTCTATATATATATATATATATATATATATATTATATAATACTTTTTTTTGATGAATTTGTTTCATATATGGTTATGAAATTATTTCATATAACATTTCATGAAATTTTAATAAAACCGTTTCATGTATTTCTCTAAAATTAAAATAATGAAGATGATAATATCCATGATTAACACCCTCCACAATAAAAATGGTTAATCAACCTCTCATAATTACAAAAAAATGAACAAAATGAAAAATTATGATTGTTTGAATGAAGTTTTCACGGTTTTTACAAATTGAGTGGTTTTTATTTGAACGTTCCCCTATATAGATATATATAGACTTGGGATCACGTGAGACCAACTTTTTACACTTGAAACTTCACAGCAAAATGCTGTGAAGGTAACCTTCACAGTGTTTTTGCTGTGAATGTTCGACTTTTTTAAACCTTTGCAGTGTTTTTGCTGTGAATTTCAAGTGTAAAAATGTGGTCTCACGGGTCTCACGAAAACAACCTGGTCTCACATGAATCCAACCCTATATATATAATTAGCTATATAATTAATCAAATGGAAATTCTATTAACTAAAATATTATATTATTTAATTTTCTTTAACATTTTATTTATATTAATTAACATATTATATATTAATGATTTGATATTAACATTGATATATTTTTTAAATAAAAACTTTTAAATAGTTGATTTGATATTAACATTGATATATTTTTTTTCAAATTTTTATGATATCTTCAAATTTATATTTTATTCAAAAATAAAATCATTATTGATTTCTTAAAAAGCACATAAAATCATATTATAACATCGACAAAGACAAATAATAAAATAAAACATTAAAATCGAGATGTGTCTCGCTGCATTGCGCGAATACTCTTCTAGTATGTGTATATATATATATATATGTGTGTGTGTGTGTGTGTAATAGTTATTTCAAATTATTGTTTAATGTAGATACATTCTAAGATTTCAATTTTCTTATGCAGATTCAAAGGGGAGCGATCAAATGAAAACAACTCAATTTGTAAAAACCGTAAAAACCTCATTTCATCAATCATAATTTTTCTTTTTGTTCATTTTTTTTTTTTTGTAATTATAAGAGGTTGATTAATCATTTTTATTGTGGAGAATGTTAATCATGAATATTATCATATTTATTATTTTAATTTTAGAGAAATACATGAAACAGTTTCATTAAAATTTCATTAAGTAGTATATGAAACAATTCAATAACCATATATGAAACAACTTCATCAAAAAAAAAAGTATTATATGAAATAATTTCACAAGATTAAACAATTTCATGAAAAAATTTCATAAGATTAAACAATGAAATCGACGGATAAGAGTAGTTTTTACGGTTTTTACAAATTAGAACGGTTTTCATTTGATCGCTCATATATATATATATATATATATATATATATATATATATATAATTAGCTACATAATTAATCAAATGGAAATTCTATTAACTAAAATATTATATTATTTAATTTTCTTTACCATTTTATTTATATTAATTCACATATTATATATTAGTGCTTTGTTTTGAATATATTATGAAATGTTAAAATTGACTCTTTTTTTAACATGTCATTTTATATTACACAATAAGTTGATAAGTTTCATCGGCTAACAACTAACTGATTAGTGATGATCAAACTTATCAGTTAATTTGTCAAACATAATTATTTTATCAGTTAACTTATCAAATATCAGTTATCTTAACATCTAACTTATCAATTAATTCAACAATTAATAAGTAAAACAAGTGCAACCCTCAAACCCTCATGAAAGCATGTAACAATATGCTTTAACAACTTGGCTAATAAATCATCTAATAATAACGCAACAAATAAAGAAGACAAGTTTACAACATAAAAGCTTTATGTCTATAAATGTTATTCAATACCTTATATAAACATGTTCCATTTCTTCCATCCATTACAACAAAATTGGGTTTATAGAACACCCTCAATCTCTAACCGTCCCAATAGACCGCTTTATATGATTTAATTTATATGATCAAAATATAAAGCGTCTTATCTAAATGTGTTGTAATAAGTTTATATGACGCTTTTGGGCGTCTTAACAAGTTTTTTTAGGACATTTTTAATACAAAGTGTCGCATTAGCAACTTTATATGACACTTTTGAGAAAGTGCCCTATAAACTCAATTTTTTATAGGACATTTGTTTTTACAGTACAGTTTTCAAATAGTGTCCTATAAAGTTGCTAATGGGACGCTTTATATTAAAAGTGTCCTAAAAAACTTGTTACGATGTCAAAAAAGGTTATATAAACTTATTACAACGTCTTTAGATAAAACGCTTTATTTTTTTGGTCATATAAATTAAGTTTTATAAAGAGACCTATTAGGACGGTTAGAAATTGGGAGTGTCTTATAAACCCGATTTTATTGTAGTGATCGTTCATCTTGAAATAAGTGTCTATTTTTTGTTTTACACTTAATTAAGAGAGGGAGAAAATTTCCCTCTCAAGTATCAAGGATAAAATTTGATTTAGTTAATTAAAAAGTATAACAATTGCATATTTATAACTGTATGAATTTTCATTGTGAACATTTATTTTGTAACGAAGAGTTTGAGCATAATTTATTTAACATGAGCAAACACGTGCCTTTCAAAATTTATAATAAAGTGATTCACAGGTGGGACTGGCTAGACCCGACCCATCTAGCCCGCTAGAGAAGCGGGTTTGGACAACTATTTTAAAAAAAAATGGTGGGCGAGGACTGATTATGGGCTGGCATAGGGAATGTGTAACAACTCAAACCGGAAACAATATCAACAAGGTATGAGATTCTTCATTACATCTCAATAGTTAGCAGCAGAAATACATAAATCCACAGCTGAGAATTATTACAAAACGAGGGATAAAAGAAAACTAAATTGTCTTGTCATCGCCACTAGCATCACATCTTCCCTTCCCTTCCCTTTTTGAACTACTCTCGACCTTATACTGCCCTGAAAAGGGAGGATTAGACCATAAGGTCTAATGAATTCTATTCATAGCATTTCGGCAACTATAAATTATAGTAAAGGTGATAAACCAACAACGGAAATATATCATACTCAATTAACATTAAGAACATTCCTACCTCACGGACATTGCACGATATTTGTAGCAACTTTGTCACAAGCCCCCATGACAAATATACTATTCATTGTTTATTTTAATGAATTTTTTTCATAAACTGTTTAATATGATGAAATTGTTTCAAATGATTTATTTCATAATGAAAATGTTTCATATATTTTTTTCTATGTAAAAATTAATTTGTTTCTGAAATTGTTTAAGATTTTATTTAGTTAATTAGATAATTAATCATTAAATCCAATTATCTAAATCAGACTATCGGGTTAATAGTAATTATAGTCATTGTGATACTCAGTATGTGGTTCTCTTGGTTCGATACTCATACTTATTGTACGTATTACTTGATTCGATACCATAAACTTACGCTTAGATTTAGGAGGGTGTAAACCCGTGTATCAGATCCAAACCCAAATTCTCTCCTGATTGAACCCAACTCCATTGTGCACAAATTCAAGCTCGGTTTGGTTTCATAGAACTAATCATCTAAAACAACTTGCAACTACAACTTTCTGAGTTTTTATCGATTACTTGGTCTTAAATCGACCCAAATTCGAAAAAGAAAACATAACGTGAAATTTAAATTTGAATTTAAATATAATTCAAAAACTTACAGGATGGACATGCATTTCACCAAAAAAGAAATCCATGACAACTGAAAGTACCAATGCAAGTAGCTGTGTCTATTAAGCATACAAACTGGAGAAGCCTAAAACTGGCACCATCATTGATTCTGCAAAGGAATAGTCTTTTAATCTTAACAAACCAAGACTTGTACTCTCTCTCTCTCTCTCTCTCTCTCTCTCTATATATATATATATATATATATATATCTTTCCTATACTTGATAGTATTAAACATGGATGGTCCACGCGATAGTATCTTCTCGACCCACCGCAAATAGGCTGAGCCTTACGGCTAAACCAGAGGATCTTTACAACAACTGCTGCCATTATTATCCAAACCAAGGAAATTTAGAGGCAATGGATGTCCATATCCTCCCCTATGGTTCCACTCTTCTTAGCAGTAGGCTTACTCAACTGAAACACTGGGTATCTGCATAATCTCCTTACTCCTTTTCTCAATTTTACCCTTTCCAATATCCCTTCTATAACTACCTCTCTGTGCTGTTGTCCCTGCTTTGATTGGTTGTCGATCTCCGGAGATTTGCTTCTACATGTAACAGGTGAGTTGTTGTAATCATATTCCACAACAGACCCACTTTTTCTTGGAAAGCTCCAAAATTGTTCCTCGCTTTCGCTTCCTAATCTGTTCAAAGTGGAGCTCCTTAGAGGGTAAAGATGATCAGATCCACTGTTATCTGCACATGATTCCTCTCTGTCACCAAGGGTTTTCATGACTAGTGTTTTCAGCAAATTCATGATTTGAACTGCATGAATCAATGCCGTCAAAGGATCCGCCATCTGTGTTCATACAGCAAAACTATGAATATCCATATCCAAATCATACTCAATTTGTCCTGCATTCACTGCTAAAAGATACATCACATTCCTTCCCATTTGAATTTGAATTTGAATTTGAATTTTGAGGCCAAACTTAATAGGCTTCAATTCCAGAAAAAAAGAGGTTTTGTTACATAGATTTTCTTCCATTTTGTAGATGTTGGTTTCTTTGCAAGATTCTTTTGATCATGAAGTTGAAAAATTAGTCCTTCAAGTGTCAAAATTGTGAAAGGATGAGGATAACAGACCTGTGTCATGTTGGGGGCAAAGACCATAGCAATGTTTCGGGCATTCATCTTGTTTTCTTGGTCATACTTGACAACATCTGCCATTAAATTAATGGCCCAATCAAGAAGTGCAGCCTCGGTTGGAGGTAGGGACTTGGCAAGCTGAGTACACTCCTCTTCTGTGTTGCAATGCATAACCTGCTCTGGGGTCAAAGAATCAAGAACGCCCGTAGGAAGTTCTCTAAACCATGCCTGTTGACCCAATAAATAAATCCATTGTGATTGTTTTTATATAACTAGGTAAAAACTGGTATAACAGATGGTGGTAGATATACCTTAATCAAACCAGCCAAACAATGAACATCAACTCCATGCGGCACAAACCCTCTATTGAGCTGCTTCCTAACAATTTCTTCTTCACCATTTTCCCCATTTATTCGAAATATTCCTTCTGCCTTCATCACAAAACATGAAATTATAAATGTTGAATACTGCATAATTTAAACTATAAAAGGTTAAGGAATGGTTTTTGCTTACTTGTAGGCCACCTCCTGAATATAAACGGTTTTGCATCATCAGAAGTATCGTTGGCACGCTATTCCCTCTCTCATCATAGGAACATTGCATAGACTCCACAGATACTCCAAACACGCACACGCTGATAAATTGAGAGATAAAAAGGGTGCTCAGGAATCGAGTTTGGCAATTCGCTAAGAATAAAGTAGATACCTATACTATCTTATAAAGCAAATTTAACAAAAGTTTTAAAGTCTTTAAATATTAAATGACCAAGATACCTTTTATATCACTTTTTCACTTTTCAACTCATCATTTCCTCACATACACTCACCCCCTCACATACACTCACCCTCTCACAATTAATTTTTTTAAAATTAAAATTTTAAATTTACACTTTATACYCCTATAATTAGTTAATTAATTTACTTTACGTCATTTACTTTTAAATGTTTCATTTTAAACATTTATCAAATTAATATACATAATCRTATATCAATTAAAACATGTTTAAAAAATATATTTTTATTTTAACAAGTTACACCATTATAATCGTCTCGTTAATACCTTCGAAATGAGTCCAATATTGAATAGTTTTTGACTTAATTATATTATTATATATTATATATACTGTGAAAAAATATTTTTAATATTTACGATTTATACTTTTATAGTTATTTATTTATATATATACTATATATTTTGGGGTTAGGCTGTCCAAATTGCACTGTATAATATGTTCTGAATTAATATGTTCTTGGGTTTTTTTGAAATATATATATATATATGTATTAATTCAACCTTAATCTGAGTTTTGGACAAGAAAGAGTGTAAGCAGTTGAAATTTCATTCTAAAACTCATCTTTTTTGTCCTTTCATGGCTTATGATCTGTTAAATTTGTAGTTTTCTTTATTGGTTTTGAGTGTTTATCTTAAAACTCAAGTTTCTTGGTTCTTTTGTGTAAATCGAACACATTTGTGGAGTCGATTAAATATGTTGGATTTTAAATATATTATATTTTAAACTGTCATACTATTTTTTTCATCGATAGTCTGTAATTGGAACCATAACTCTTATTTATTCAAATTGTATTAATATGTAAAGACCAAGTGTAACATATATCAAAGTGTAACATATATCATCGTTAAATCTTATCTTATAAAACCAGTGGAACTTCAAAATCGTTAAAGTTCATGGCTCCCGCCATTGCGTGGGTACACAACTAGTAAGGACTTAAAATGATGGTTATTTAAGATTAAGCAAGTTCAGGGAGCATTAGAAGACCAACTGTTCCATCAGGTGTCTATGGTTTGGGCACAACTCCAAACGTTAACTTACACGGTTAGTCTACAAAAGTTATTCTTGGTTATCGCATTGTCTTTGTTGTTAAAATCACAAACAATAACCTTCCGTATGTGTTGCTTCAAGAGTCATAATGAGATTATTTTCATAAACCTCATATATTCACTTTGTTCATCTATTATATTGCATCTATATGTACCCATTTTTCTCCTCTTTGTCAAAGTACTACACTTCATTATTTTGCTCATTTCAACCTATTCGATTCTTCCTTATGTTCTATCTGCTAACACATCATCTTCTGTTCATTACAATCCATCTTCCACTTCCAATCTTCTATTTCTTTTGCACCTCCTCGAACTTGCAACATACCAACAAAGCATCAAGGTTGTTATGCATGGGATACCACCCTAATCTATGTGTTCTTAATTTCTTATCCTTCTATTTAAGTCTTCTGTTTTCTTATTTCATATAATCTCCACCTAATGATGTCATTTTGCTTGATGAACCACATAGTTGCGTTCAAGATGTTGAAGGAAAAATGTCGATCAAACCATGTATAAAGATAAAAGATCTTGAAGCTGATAATATTTGGAAGTTTATGCCTCTTCATCACCATAGGTTGCAAATGGGTTACCTTGAAATGAGAAGATCTGTCACAAAGTATGATGCTTGAATTTCACTCATCTCTTGGGATTATAACACAAACAATTATGAGCTTCGTAGAAACAGATACAGGGCTCTAGAAGACAGTCTTGTGACGTACAATGTCTTAATGATTTATAAGCTACTCGCAAGTTGCCTATTATAATCTAGTTTTGAAGGTACATTTACACTTATCAGAGCAAACTGAGCGTTCAAGATCCTGTCACCCCTTCAACTTGATGTGTGAGGCATGCATCACCTAGTTTTTTTATAGAATTTATAGCATATCAAAGGGATTTTCTGTAATTATTTCAGCTTTAGTTTGACTGTCCGACCTCGGTTGTTAGTTATAACTGATGTATATGTATTTCCTCTGTTTTTCAATTCAGATTTGATCGGAAATGATTTTGACCCTTGTTACCAATCTCTTTCACTTATGTACATCCAACTAACTTGAGACTTGACCATAAGAGATATTAGGACTAAAGTTACGAACTCACATTTCACTGATATACCAGAATAAGGGCAATAGCTATGTAATTACACTATATACTTGGCTGATCGTCTACTTGCAATCAAGCCACCTCCTTTCATGCAGACTGCAAAGAGTTTGATATCTCATGGTTAAAATGCTATCCAACTGTCAGGTCCTCTGTACTGTTAACATAAGGTCACCCCTTGAGTGACATGGAATCACAATTCACAATAGAATTAAACGATAGCAGGATATCCAGAAAATGCTTGATTATGTTGTGGATTACTTTGAAGCATGAAGATGTTTGCCTTAGATCACGATACATATGGGTAGCAAACATCATCCAATTTAGAAACCAATTATGATTAAAGAAGGCTTCATGTGCTCTAAATAAAGCAGCATAAACAACCATATCATTGTCATCTATAATTTTCTTGACTCTTCCCCTGCAAGTACTTAAAGATCTTAAAACAAACCATCACTACAATCCAACTTGACCCACCGAGAGGGACGATGCTTTTTAACTCCCATAATATCTTTTGCTTTTTTCTTGATGAAACTTTAGGGACAATGAGTCAGTATCAAACTCATCTACATGCACTTTTCCATTATTAATTGCAACCTCGCCCTGCCCTTTACCGGTGAAACTGAGTTGTACCCCCTCAAAAAAAATCCTCAAAATTGTACATTAATATCTAGTCACGGATCACCGATTGAACATATTTACAAGAGATTTCCCATCTAAGCAAACAATGAATTCCCCCAACCACTCTCCCAACCAAATAATCAGATCTCTTTTCCTGCTTTCTATAAGCCGAATTATTTGATTTAGTTTTTTTGTTAAAGAACAAATGACAAAGAGTATTAAGGCATTTTAACAAACAGGTTACAAGCGTAATATCCAAATCTGGAAACCCCTAAATTGGAATCTGACGGATGATGCTTGTTTCTAAAAAAAGTAAAGAGGAAAAATAAGAATACCTTGCGCTGGGAACATGACGGGGGACGTGGGGTTGAAGGGCATGAGGCAAACCAAGGAAGCCATTGAAGCGATCGAAGGTGACGTGGGAAACATGGTGGACGTCGGTGGGACAGCCGATATCTAAGGAGGAGGAAGCATCCTGGGAGTGTTGGACAGCGCAGGTGAGGAGAGACTTGCGTAGGGCGGTCAACAAGAGGGAGAGGATGGTGAAATTGTGATTGGATTGTGGAGACTGTTGGCGGGGACTAATAAAGGGAGTTGTAATTGGACTGCCATGTTCAGAGTAGTCTTGACAGAGATAGGAAACGTCAATGTCGTCATGATCATCATCGTCATCATCTTCTTCTTGTTGAGTGGAGGTGGAAAAGTGGAAAAAGGAAGCTTTGGGGCGAGGGGTTCCGCCACAGGATTTGGATCTAAAGAGGGTCGTCATTAAAGAATTCCAAGGATCAACTCAGATCAAATAAGATGATGATGATGATGATGATGATGATGAAGAATAAGGTATGAATGGGGTGGGGGCAATGACAGCTACGACTATTCCCTGTTTCGTCTCTATTACTACATATGTCACACACACAGAGGCATATATATATATATATATAGAGGGTTGAGTTCACGTGAGATCAAGAATTTTTCGTGAGACCAGTAATACCAATTCTCAATATTTGGATTAAGTTCACAATTTGAACATTCATAATCACAAAATTGTCACAAAACTTCTCAATAATCACAAAATTGACACCGTGCAACTTTAAACTATTAGATCATTAGCTTATAAAGTTGATCAATGAACATAAATTGGTCTTATGGGTCTCACGAAAAACCTTTGGTCTTACATGAACCCAACCCTATATATATATATATATATATATATAGACTTGGGATCATGTGAAATCAATGATTTTTCGTGAGATCTATAAGACCAATTCTTAACTTTTGGATTGGATCTACAATATGAAAATCTAAATATTCATAAACGCCACGAGATTTCTTAATAATTACAAAATTGCCACCGTGCAATTTAGACCATTAGATCATTAACTTACAAAGTTGATCAATGAACATAAATTGGTCTTACGGATCTCACGAAAAACCATTGGTCTCACGTGAACCCAATCATATATATATATATAGAGGAGCGATAAAATAAAAATCACTCCAATTTGTAAAAACCGTAAAAACTACTCTCATTCGTCGATTTCATTGTTTAATCTTATGAAATTTTTTCATGAAATTGTTTAATCTTGTAAAATTGTTTCATATAATTTTTTTTTTTTTGATGAAGTTGTTTCATATATGGTTATGAAATTGTTTCATATACTACTTAATGAAACTGTTTCATGTATTTTTCTAAAATTAATGAAACGGTTTCATGTATTTCTCTAAAATTAATGAAACGGTTTCATGTATTTCTCTAAAATTAAAATAATGAACATGATAATATCCATGATTAACATCATCTACAATAAAAATGATTAATCAATATCTCATAATTACAAAAAAATGAACAAAATGAAAAATTATGATTAGTTGAATGAAGTTTGTACGGTTTGTACAAATTAGGTGGTTTTTATTTGAACGCTCCCATATATATATATATATATATATATATTTAACAACGAAATAGGTAGCATTTTTAGGGGTTGCTATTGTCGCCCCGGTAACTTTTTGATGCAGCTTAGGTACTATTTGGTAGTTGTTGAATGGTTTTGATGTAGAATGATTAAGTGATCAGAATGATTAAGAGTCTCTCATGATATAGTGTAAAATGAAATATAATTGGTTAGTAATTATTTACAACAAAACTAGGACGCTGAATGGTTAAAGAATGTCCATGATACATAATCATTTAGATGATTTTAGAACAATATAAGAGACATACTTTTTTTTCGCCAAACAAAATTCGTCTCTTAATAATTCAAATGTTGTCTTTTAATAAAACTATTAAGAAGTAAACAAACAACTCATTACTCGTCTTGTTACTCTTACATATTAATTTTTAATATATATTTAATTTTAACATGATATTTCATACATTTACAATTACTTAATTAATTTGTTTTACGTCTTTTACTTTTTATTTTTTGTTTTATATCTTTATCATATTAACATATATAATCATATATTTACTAAAATATGTTAAAAAAATATGTTTTGATTTTAACAAGTTATACCATTATAATCATCTCGTTAATACCTTCGAAATGAGTCAAAATATTGAATTTTTTTTTATTTAATTATATTATTATATGATTTATATCATATATGCTAAGAAAAAATATTTTTAATACTTCTATTTTATACCATTGTAGTTAATTATGTAATTTATGGTATGTCTCTTTGTTTTTCCATTTTTTGTTCTACGTCTTTATCACATTAGCATACATAATCGTATATTAACTAAAATACGTTTTTATTTTAACAAGTTACATCATTATAAATCGTCCCGTCAATATCTTCGAAATTAGACCAATACCAAATATTTTTTGATTTAATTATATTATTATATAATATATTACAAAAAAAATATTTTTAACACTTACACTTTATACCATTATATTATTTAATTTTTGAGTACATTTTTTGCTTTTTCATTTTTCGTTTTACACGATTGTATATTAACTAAAATATATTTAAAAAAATATGTTTTTATTTTAACAAATTATACCATTATAATCGTCTCGCTAACACCTTTCAAATGAGCCCCATTAATATTTTTTGATTTAATCATATTATTAAATATTATAATGACGAAAGTTATTTTAATACCTACACTTTATACAGTTATAGTTATTTATTTAATTTATTTAATATGCCTTACTTTTTTATTTTTCGTTGTACACCATTATCACATTAACATATATAATTGTATATTAAACTAAAATACGTTAAAAAATGCATTTTTATTTTAACAAGTTGCACTATTATTATCATCTCGTCAATACTTTTAAAATGAGTCCAATATTGAATATTTTTTTATTTAATTATAGGGTCGTAATGATACAAAAATATAATGAGGATATAAAATAGAAAATGAAAAAAAAAAAGTAAGAAACTAAAGACTTAATAATATTTATAAAGGTATAAAGTATATATTGAAAAAAATTCATATACAAATATATAATTTAAAAATACGTATTTTTAATACTTAATTAATTAATAATAATATAAAGTTAATTAATTTATATAATTATTAAAAAAATAAGTATTCTTAATACTTAATTAATTAATAATAATATAAAGTTAATTAATTTATATAATTATTAAAAAAATATTAATATTTTATTAATTAATAATAATATAAAGTTAATTTATTTATATAATTATAATATATATATTGAAATTTTGAAACATAAAGAATATAATAAGAAAATATTAAAAAAGTTGAAGAGTTAAAACCGAAAATATCAAAGGATTAAAACTGAAAATTAAAATAAATTATATTTTGTGTATTTTGTTGTTTTGTGTAGGAAGGAGTATAAAAAAAATAGGGAAAAAAATTTAGGAGGAGGTGCGGATAGAATAACCCATTTTTATTGATGGTGTTATTAGAAAGAAGTAAGATTTGATTGGTTGATTTTATTGATTCATCTACAGATAAAGTCTATATATATATATATATATATATATATAGGTGGAAGAAACATGATTTGTAATGATGAGGGTGGGTTTAGCAAAAATTTACTTCCGCATAAAGTTTTATTAAATAAGTCATTTTATATGTCATTAAATTATCACCAAACAGTCATATATGGCTAACTAAATAAGTAGTGAAATTCATTAAACTCATTAAGCTGTTAACAAACAGACTATCAATCCATTATAAAAATGAACATGAAAGAGCATATAAACCATGTTCGGAACAAAATGCATACTATAATAATTATATTTTTAGTTTTTGAAATTTAGAAACTACTTTACTTTACGGTTTCCTTTTTTGTAAACCATATGGACCAAAAGGGGGAATGTACTCTACTATTACATAACGACCATCCTAGATCAAACATTTAATTTAGGACCATTCCTCACTTTCCTTTTAAGGAAAATATGTTACATTTTTTAATTCATTTAAAATGCTCTAAATTCTCCTTTTAGTAAATTACATAATTGGTACCTATGCTTTTCTTTGAATATGAATATGGTTCCTCTTTCAATATAAGTATATTGGAGGTCCTTATGGTTTGCACTTTGTTTCAACCTGGGTCCCTATCATTAACACCGTTAAATTCAATTCGTTAAATCAATGGTAAATTGGTCAATCTACTTATTAATTAAAAATATTTGTTAAAACACCATTTAGGTAATGACAAGTATCCACTCATTGACCCACCCCGCCCATTTGACCTTCTTCCTCATCGTTGTTTTTTTTCTTTCTACATAGAATATAATTCTCTTTGCTTTTCGTTGAGACTAAAACAACAACATATGTCAAAAATCTGGTCTGGTGTGAGTAAGATAGATAAGGCGCCCCACTAGGCTTCTAAACTTTCTTGCGTCTACCATTCATGTGTCATCTTTGCTTGTTAGTTTTTCCCTCACATTCATTGGAGTTGCTACACTTTTGCATTCCATCATATTGAACTGCTTCAAGATATCTGAGGCATAATTGTGTTGTGATAGAAAAATGCCAAACCGAGGAAATAACTCAACTTTCCTAAATCAGTCATCTCAAACATGCTCATCATGGCATTCTTAAAATCAGATATAAGTTCCATAGATGATCTTGTATAAATGATGTCATCTACATACAAACTTACCAGAATAATGTCATCCATTTTTCGCTTCTTCACATACAAAGTTGGCTTATTTGGGTTTCTCTCAAATCCGTGTTTATGAAAGAATTCATCTATTTTACATACCAAGATCGGGGAGCCTGTTTTAGGTCATATAACACCTTCTTAAGCTTGTATACTTTGTGTTCTTCCCCGAATACGACAAAGCCATCTGGCTGCTAGACTTACACTTCATCGTTTAGATCTCTATTTAGAAATGCCGATTTTACATCAAACTGGTAAATGGTCCATCGTCGTTGAGCAGTAAGTGAAATAATTACTCTTATGGTTTCAAAAGTTGCCACGGGTGAGAAGGTTCCATCAAAATCCACTCCTTGTTCTTGAGCATATCCTCTTGCCATCAATCTTGCCTTATGTTTTTGTATGCTTCCATCTAAGTGATATTTAGTCTTGAAAATCGATTTAAGACTGATTGCCTTCTTTCCAGTGGTAGCTCAACCAACCCCCAAGCCCCGTTTCTTCTAATAGTAGTGACCTCATCTTGCATTTCTTTCTTCCATACTTTATTTTTCATGGTTGTCTTACCAAAATCGGATCTTCAGTAAACAAAACAAATGTTGAAGAATAAAGATCATCTAAGGTTCTCGTTTTCCTCGAAGATTTTGGAGTTGAGTCGGTAGAGAAAGATGTCATATTCTCTTCAGATGATCACATAGTTTTTGTGGTTACAGATTATATACTCTGGGGTGGACTTTTAGCTTGAGGGTTTGTAGGAGCCACAATCTAATTGTTATCTTCATGTTGAATCTCATCCACAATGATATTTGGACTTGAATATTGCTCTTCTAAGCTCATTTGCCAACTTGCCTGCTCATCAAAGAGAATAGTGGTTTCGTAATTTTTACAAATAGATGACAAACGAGTTCATATATGAACATATGTGATTCACATATGAATTATATCTTATTTGTGAACTCGTGTAATTCACATATGAACTATTTTAATTGATTCATATATGAACTCATGTGATTTACATATGAACTAATTAACTGATTTACGTATGAACCCGTATGATTCACATATAAGCTAATTAATTGATTCATATATGAACTTGTGTTTTCATATATGAATCAGTTAAATACTTCACATGTAAACTAATTAACGGGTTCACATATAACATATAGTTCATATGTGTATCGCATAGATTCACATATGAACTCGTTTATCGCCTATTTGTAAAAGTTATGAAACTACCCCTCTACTTTTCGCATACTCATTCGAGGAATTATCTGGTGCTTTACGATCAAAGTTGCAAATGCTGACCAGATGAAGGGCTAGGATCACTTCTTTATTTCCCAAATATTTACCACTTCTCAAATGAACCTTTTCGTGTGTGTGTGTGTATATATATATATATACACTTATTTATTTATAATCTTTATAATTTTTAATAAAGAATAAAAAAATTAATAGATAAATTGAAAAAGATACCCCTAAGTTAACATAATGGATTTAACAGTGTTAGTGTTACAGAGACGTCCACTACAATTTTTTTTTAAAGAGGAACCCAGCTTGAAACAAAATGCAAACCATAGGAACGTCCAGTATATTAATATTTATCTCAAAAGCGAGACCATATCCAAATTCTAAACAAACACATATACCAACAATGTAATTTACTCTTCTCGTTTTTTTATAGATGATGGATGTGACTCATTTATAGAAAACGTAACACTTTTAAAAGATTAATTAAAAAAATGACACTGGTAAAAGAAATTATAAAATAAATAAAATGATTCAAACAATTTATGGATTTAAATAGGTGGATTTTTCATATTATTTTATATTAAATTCATCAAATCTTGTACTGTATTTGTTTTTTCCATATTAAATCGTAACATTCTCTAGTTCTGAACCGTAAAATACCAAATTTCATATAATAATAAAATCTTTTTTGATAGAGTTTTAATATTTACAAAATGGTACTTCAATCTTAAGATATTACTTTCACATTATTTCATCGTCTAATATTCTTTTAGCAAATTAAAAGAACATCAACTTATAATAATTTACAACACAGTAACATATTTAACTGGTATACCAAACTTTTTCAAAAATAATAACAATCGACATACCAATAATATAAATACATAATTCCGTACCTGAAAATGAACTATGGTTGATTCAAATGGCATGATAATATAATTTATTAGATTATCATGAAAATATAAAATACATATGTACAATATATAGAGCTAATAGATATAAGGGTAGTATAAAATAAAATATATGTACTCAAAATAGAAACATATATACTTAGAATATTCTTTTTATGCTAAAAATAATGTAATACATTAGACTTAATTTACCATTTGCATCATTTTATACACCCAAATGATAGAAACTTGATGTTTTACAATGAATATCTAATGCCCCTCGACTAACGACCATTACGATATCGATTACAGATCATTTCCAAAACAAAATGTATATTAGAATAATAGTTCCATTAAGAGTGAATCTCTGAATCGTTAAGAGGTGAATCTTGTTTGACAAAATAAAAGTTTGTCTCTTAATGGTTCTAAAACCATCTGAATGATTTTGTATCTTGGATTTCTCTTAACCATTAAGAGTTTTAATTTCATTGTACACAATTACCAAATAATTATATTTTATTTTGCACTATATCATGAGAGCCTCTTAATCATTTTGTACCAAACTATTCAACAATTGTTAAACAACATCTAACTATATTTGAGATTTAGGGCTAGTTTCGGATGTTTTTGCAAACCACATGGTCCAAAAGCGGGATTCAGTCTTACTATATAACGAACTCCCTACATTTAGATCCAACATTTAATTTTACGACTGTTTTTCACTTTCCTTTTTAGGAAAAGATACTATGTCAGACGCCTTTAATTATTCTCTGTAATTTATACACGATGGATGTGACGTATTCAAAACAAAACAACACTTTAAACAATTCATTTCAAGTATTAAAAAATGAATACACCACTCATATCTGGTTGTTGGAATAGAAGCCATGCATGCATATATATATATATATATATATATATATATATATATATATATATATTTGGATGATGCAAGAAGAAGTGTTTTTTTAAGACTCTGTAAAAACAATTTTTCATCGGTAGATTAGATCTATAATCTGACAATCTGAATATTTATAAACGTCACGATACTTTTCAATAATCGCAAAATTGTCACCGTATAACTTTAGACCATTAACTTATAAAGTTAATCAATGAATATATATTGGTTTTATGAGTCTCACGAAAAACCTCTCTTCTCAGCATGAACCCAACCCTATATAGACTTGTCTGCTATCTTGTGTTTCAGTTGTATTGTTTCTTGTCTTGTTAAACTTACTCATCTCACTTCCTAGCTGGCTATACGCCATTAATGTACATGAATGTATCCATTCTCTGCTCTTCCTTGTATCTATATGTATATATATACATATGATTTACCTCCAATTCAGAAGCATTTGTAAATTGTTAACACTACTCATCGAAGTTACAAATATGTCGTCATCTTCTTCTCTACGACTTGTGATTCTTCTTTTCACCATCACCGTCTTTAAACCTACTGTCTCCCTCAATCCGAGCTTCGTCTCTTTCAGTGAAACCTTCTCCCTACTATATGGATACCAAAATATCGTACCTTCCAATGATGATAAATCTGTTCAGATCTCCATGACCAAGTCGTCTCCTGGGTCGGGTTTCGTTTCACGATCCACGTACCACCATGGCTTCTTCACGGCCTCCATCAAGCTACCAAACAACACCTACTCCGCCGGTGTCGTCGCAACTTTCTATGCTCAGAATAACGCTTTCAATCGAGACGACGAGATTGATTTCGAGTTCCTCGGCCACATCAGAGGCGAAGGGTGGGTTCTTCAGACCAATCTTTATGGAAATGGAAGTGTCCACAGAGGAAGAGAAGAAAAATTCACATTACCCTTTGACCCTTCTCAAGATTTTCACGATTACAGTATTCTTTGGAATACGGGTCGGGTCGTCTTTTATGTAGATGGATTGCCTATCAGAGAGGTCCAAAAAGTGGAAGCAATGGGTGGTGATTTCCCATCTAAGCCATTGTTTTTGTATGGCACCATTTGGAATGGATCCGACTGGGCTACCCATAACGGCCGGTACAAAGTCGATTTCAGCCACGGCCCGTTTGTTACGGGTTACGCCGGTTTCATATTAAACGGGTGTCCGATGACCCAGTCACCGGCATCAGACTGCCAAGTTCCACTTCCTGATGGTCTTTCTTCAGCTGAAAGAAGCAAAATGCAGGCGTTCAGGAGCAAGTATATGACGTATTCATATTGCCATGATACGGGTCGGTACAAGACTTCCTTACCCGAGTGTGAGGCTGGAGCTCCAGTTATGCAACCCGCTAAGACACCGGTAGTACTATCGCCGGTTGAACCACCGGTATCCGGAGAAAGTCATAGGTTCGGGTATATACAGTATTAGAACCCGACCCGGAAGGGTCCATTATTACTATTTACTAGTATATTAATCTTGGTTTTGATTAAGAAAGAGAATAATTAATTGATGTTATAAATTAACATAATCCTTATATATCGTTAAATACATTATTATCTGTTTCAGGCTCGTAATACTTCGATTCGAAACTTGGAACGAAGAGCACGTTTTTTGAGGGTTAAAAACGTTGTTTTAAAATGTTTTGGACCCAATTTGTGTTTTTTTTTGGGTCTATTTTCTATTTTCTGTTTGGGCTTTTTATGGTTGGCCCATCAACTCCTTTCAAATCAAACCCATTTCAGTTTCGATCTTCTTATTTATAGTTATACGATAAATATGTAATATGGATGATCATACTTTGAATACAAAAACTTCCCTTTTTCAATCCAATTTTTTTGTTCTCTCCGGCTTCGACTTTTGAGCGTAAAGCGTGGCACTCGATCGAATCGACAAGCTTTATAACAGATGTCATGGGTATTCTTCGAATCAACAGTTTCAACATTCTTTTCGATAATCAAACGCTGTGTCAAAAATTCTCTACTTCAGCCTTTAAGAGTTTGCATTTTCGGAAAACTTTTGACTTTTCCAACACAATACGCCCAAACCTTTTATGAGTAATTATCAATGAAAGAGATTATTTGAACCAATATCAGCTCTAGCAATAACTTGATTTTTCCTTGACGAATAACAAGCTATGCCACGAATGAATGGCATACTCTTCTTCAATACCACCGACTATATTTTTTCCGTTTCATACTTTGACTTCTCCATTATTTTCAATTGACTGCTAAACAAATTTATGCTATATGTCGTATGTTTAGACATTTTTACAATCTCTACCCAGAGACACGAAGAACAAAAATGGTTTGGTTATGATCATGCTTTTGGTTTTTTTATTCATTAAAACCTAATTAGCATCATGTTTTTCTTCTTATCTATATTAGCATTTTACTTGCCAAATGACAAGGTTTTTGGAAATGGATCCAAAGTAGCTACCACCTCTTCCTCTTTAATTTAAACATCCATGTCCTCTTTAGGTGACGTTTGTTTTTTAAGAGATGCTGAAGTTTGATGTTTAATTTAAACATCCATGTCCTCTTTAGGTGACGTTTGTTTTTTAAGAGATGCTGAAGTTTGAAATATGAATCTATAAGATTGTTTGTTTTTGTAAATTGACAAACATCTAAAGTTTGAAATTTGAATCAATAGTTTGTTTTTGTAAAATCAGGTGCAAACATTTTGCAAAATTCTCTTGATTTTCATAAAATTTCCGTTGCCGAAGTTCATCTCATTAATTGCTTAACAGGTGGAACACAGTAAGAACCTTTTGGATACCTTTCAGACTTCTGATGTTATCGGAAATGCCGTCAATAAATTTGTTTGTGAAAAGATCGATATTTTTGATAGATGATAGATAATAGATCACCGATAGAAGTTTTTGTTTCACATTAATCATCTAAGCTAACCTATACCTACAGACATTATATATATGCACTTACATACACACACACACACATATAGATATATAGATATATACATATATAGAGTTTGTTTTAAATACAACCTATCGCATTTGTACAACCAATGCAACCCAACAAATTGACATATTTATGAAAATGATGAGAGTTCATTTATTATGATTTAAATTTTTATGGAATATGAATACAGTTCATTAATTATGAGTATTACTTTATATTAGTAAATAATTAAAACTTCTATAAATTACATATTCATTAAATTAAATGGACGGTTGAGATTGAGTTGTATTGGTTGTACAAATATAAAAGGTTATATAATAACTCACCTCCCTCTCTTTATATATATATATATAATTTTTTTTTAATTTTTTCTCTTTCAGTTGACTTAATTTTTTCTTCAATTACAATACAAATAGTTAAGCAATTTATAACATAATTTGTTCTGTCAGTACATTAAATTATTAGAATTCTTCTCTAAATTAATGGAAACTTTCTAGTAACTTCTCCATTCAATTCCTCTAAATAAATATACCAAGTTTCAATATTATCCTTAATTGCATTTTTTTCGATGTGTTTAATCATATATGATTAATCATATATATATATATATATCATTTATTCGATATGCGTTTAATCATATATGATTAAGTTTGTGTATCATAAATATAATCACATATAATATTAAAGTTTTTCGTAAAATGTTTAACTTTTCATTTGAACATATAATATAAGCATAGGTATGCCTTTTATTTGAAAAGACATAAAATTATGATATAGATTTAGTATATTCATTAATTTGTTCATGAAATATAAATACGATTAAAAGGTCATAACCGAATATATATATATATATATATATATATATATATATATATAAAACAAATACGATATTATAAAATAAATATATATCAAAAAATATAAATAAAAAATCATAATTAACGAATTCCTTACAAAAATAATTCCCATAATTATCACAATTCTCGTATAATAGAATTAATGTAAAGAGAGAGAGGAAGGATATATTCTGTTAGAGCACACATGGATTAATTAGTCATTAATCATCAAATCATCATTGCATACAAATGTACTCAACTTAACGTACACGTACACAATTCTTGGAAACATTATCCTATCGAAACAAGCATGCAAATTGATAAGTACAGTTGTCAGTTAGCCAGCCCAAACCCTAAAACACCCATGATGGGGGTGGTGGTGGTGGTGGATGATCCGATTGATGATGGTACGAAAATGGTGGACGTTGCAAGGGATGGTGATGGTGCCTTTCTGTTCGAACCCATATTCATCTTCTGTGTCCTTCAGAAGCTGCATGAAAAGGGGATGATTAAAGCAAATAACAGGCACCACAAAGCGTTGTTGTTCGGCGCCGGCTTCACCAACTTTGACGGCCAGACAGCCTTTGGGAACCCTAGTTGATAATCTCCCGTGAGGTTGGGGAAGACGAACCAGAAGCTTGCTGGTGCTACTGCTGCCCATTAACGTGAACGTTGCTCACCTGCCTAGCTACCTAATAATAGCTAAGAGTGTGAGTGTGAGTGTGAGCGTGAATGTTAACGTAGGAGAGTCTTCGATATCGTCGAGGTTAATGCAGAAGGAAATGGGGTACCACGTGGCTCGTCGGTCGAAGATACGTGGACGTAAATGTCCCATTTTCATATATTATTTATTTTTTTATTATCATATGTTCAATTTTGAATTTTGACACATTTCTTTTTAAACCTACTTTTTGGGGAGATTTAGAATAAGGGTTTTTTTTTTTTTTGCTTGTTATGACAAGTATATAAATAAAGCTAAAATTGATGATGCTGAATTAAAATACTGTTAAATCGTATTTTGATAACAAAAAACAAATAAGAAAAAAAACTGAATATTTTTTTTTATTTTAAATGATTAAATTTCTGATATTTTTTTAACAAATAAATAGTTTAATTTTTAAGAATTAGTTACATGTTTTATTAGTAAAAAAAAGTCTTAACAAAAAGAACTACCATCTACATGCTAGATAAGATTTTAGTCCATTAGTATGCAACAATCTACATGATAAGCGCTAACCATGGTAAGAATCGCCGCCCGACTTATCAAGTAAGACTCTTGATCCTTATCTTCGTTCTTAATTACCAGGTAAGATTCTTGGTCATTACCATATTCGACCGATAAGATAATGTGACTTGATAACATTTACCCGGATAGACATTTGATAAAAGACTCCTTAATCAATCAAAATGAGAAAGTTTCATCGAGTTTTTTTGAACTTTTCTCAAAAACAAAATAAGCTGGGTCTTGAACTCCTATTCATGGGTCATCGATTCGATTCTCTTTAACAACATTTAACTTTAACAAAAAACGAAAAAAGAAATACGTGTTACAAAATTTTGACACGAAACGGATTAATGAGTCATATATTTCAAATTATCCTAGAAAGACAAAAGAGAAATAAAAATATAAAAAACAACAGTCATAGCAGCATGCTCTTCCATTAATATCCTAATAATCCAACTTCACCTTGTAGAAGCTCTTGCACTCATGGAAGAATGGTAATTCGTGCTTCTTTGTTTCCTATATGAAGTATAAACATCATCATACTGACTAGCTTCATTCGGGTTAGCCGTTGCCCCTAGCCCCAGCCTTCCCGACCCACTCGATCCTGGTTTCTTCTCCACGCTTCCATCCGCAAACGTTCCAGTCTCTGGGTCTACCAGGTTCGGAGGTGGAGGGATACATGCACCTCCCTTACGAACCGGAGGCTCTCTTTCATACTCATCTTCATCGTCACTCTTCACATCGCCACCTCGCATGGGTCCTTCCGAAGGATTCACTTCTCCAATGTCCTTGAAGAATTTTGATACACTCTCCAGAATTTCAGATGGGGAGACCGTCGAGGGTGGTATAACGGTTGGAATATCCAAAGGGCTCATGGGAGAGTAAGGTACTCCGCTGCCAATTTGCATCTTTCTAACCATTCCAGGGATCAGACCGGGTGGGAACAAAGGGTATGGGGGCAATTTCTCACTGCCCACCGGTGCTGGAAGCATATGAGGGGCAGGTTGTTGATTTGGCAGCTGAACAGAAGATGAAATAGGCATGGAACCACCATAACCACCAGATGGGATTGAGCTTGGAAGGAATTGCGGGTTTGGAATCGATGATGTCAATACAGATGGCACTTGTTTATCGGGATGATCTTGGTCTGATAAATTTGGCACCATACCCTGTTTATCAGGCTGCCAATGTACTGCACTTGTTGCTGATGCCTGCTGTTGATGTCCTGCATGAAGGAGGAATGTAAACAACCAATATGCATTCCTGTTGAAATGGGGGCAGTTTAAAATGAGAACCGTTACTATTTTGAGAACCTGGGAACCAACTATTCATGAAGAATGTCATGATAGATATTCATCACGAAAATCACTCATAACGAAAATACGTGATGTCCATGATGAAAATATCATGAATTAAAGTGCATGATATGGTGAATAATGGAAATGCAAGATATTCATGAATAATATTTAGGGTTATTCATCGTTAATAATACATGAAATAGTTAGTTCCGAGGTTCTCAAAGAAGTTATGGTTCTCATTTGAACTTTCCCGACCTAGGATAAATGTATAACAATCGCTTCCAAATGCCCATCCATTTTATGGATAACATGACTAATAACATTTGTAATGTAATGGCTGTATCAGAAAGCTTTCTCTCAATGTGTGGATTTATTTTTTTGGAAAAGGG